CTATTGCTGTTTACTGTGGCTTAACCTGTCGAGGAGAAAAATGTAAATAAAATTCAAGCCTTGAAATCATAGCTTTCCTACTTTTTTTGCAGTTAGTAGGGTTAGGGTAATGATGCTAAATGGTCCATAGGTGTGAATGGTTGTCTGTGGTCTCCTTGCTAAAATAAAGCAATTTAATCACGTGGAAATTCATTGCATGATAATTTTTTCATGTTCATTCAAAGGTTGTTTTTTTTTTTCTTGAGTGTGGGATCAGAGACTCCGACCTTTTAAACAGAGAGCAGGTTCCAGACCTTCCTCACATAGGGGTGCCTGATTGAGATCCACAAAAGCACATCAGCTAATGGGGCCACAATGTCAGTAACGATGTACTTTGTTATTATCGCAACTTTCTTCCTCCAGATTTGACCAATCTCAGAAATGAACACAGGGGAAGATTTCATCAAGATGTAAAAGTAATAGAAACCAATATATGAGCGCAGGGCTGGACTGGCATACTGGGCATTTGCCTGGGGGGCCGATGAGTCAAAATAATGTTTTTTCTTTGCCAACGTAATTATATCGAATATATAATTATAATATACATGATCTTTAATTGGACTTTAAATCTGAATTTAGTGGAAAAAATAGATAAAGACCTGTCCAAAGTTTCCAGTAGCAAAAACAAAATGTAAAAAAATAATATTTTTTAAGCCAGTGTTACATGTACTTAACCACATTTTAAGAAGTGATGTAGGCTAACACATCGTGCCACAATCTAAACAAACTGACATCTATCAGCCAGGAAATGGTTACAAAACTATTCCTAAGGCTTTAGGACAGCAAATCAAGTTAGCCATTTTTCACAAAAACAACAAAATGAAGGTGATGGACCGGCCCAGTGCAGACTTAAATATAATTGAGGTGCTTTGGCATGACCATAAACAGGCTGTTCATACTTAAAAACCTTCAAATGCTGCTGGATTAAAACAATAGAGTGCACCAAAATTCTTCCACCGTGATGTGAAAGATTATGACAAATGATTGATTGATAATCTTTTCAGGAGACAATTACATTTTGATATAGGTCCCAGTTGGTTTAGATAACTTTTTTCCCAATAAATGAAATTGCAATTTAAAACCTGCATTTCCTGTTCACTCAGGTTATCTTTGTCTAAAATGATGTGATGATTTAAAACATAGGAAACAAGTGAGTGCAACAGAAATACAAAAAGCTAAGAAATCAGGGAGCTGTCAAATACTTTGTCACCGCACAGAACATGACTATTTTGGGTGACGGAGCTTGTTTTTCATTCATCTCTGTGGACGTCTGAAGCACTTCAATAGCAGGTAAGTCTTGCATTAATTTTGTTAACTTGGGTATAAGTGCACTACACTTAAAACACTTCTTTTCACAGCACTCACTTTACATCCTTTTTAATCATCCTTAATAAGATTCACTAATTAAAATTTTCAGTGCAGTAAAAAAGAAACATATTGACGCTTTTACCCCCACAACTGGTCACAGCAGCTGCCTGAGAAGGCTTCGTCTTCTCTCTGTGCACCGACGCAAACTGTTTCTTCATCTTTTATCTTTCTCTTATATTCTACAGTCTTTACATAATGAAATGCACGGAGATAACGGCAATGAATTAAGATAAAAAATGAATTAAATTGATGATTAACTGAGAATTATTATGTGAGGACTCGGGAAAATGAAGATGTTAGTGAATCAACAATCTGTCCTTAGTGTCCTTATAGAGCCGAGTGTTTCACAGACAAATCAACCAACAAATAACCACAAAAAACCAACTAAATGTAATTATCATAAAATATAAGTTTGATCAAAGACTTTTTTTAGCAGAGAGCTTGAGGGCACACAGAGTTTGATCTATTGGGAAATATATGCATTAGAGCTGGTTAATTTATCAGTGTGAGTAAAAGTCCAGCCCTGATAGAGATTTCATGCAGCAAATGTCAGTGCACTACATTGTGAAGCTATGTGAAATAACGGCTGCAGCTCATCCATCAACCAGGTCTCATCATCCATCTGACAGGAGATGATGCGTCATCAATGCTGGGATCATTGCCAGAGCAGCAGCTGAAAGCTAATGTATTCTGCTGCACACGACCCCACAGCATCGTCTAACGAATGAAGTTTTTACAGTGGAAACTTTTCTTGTTCTTTACCAAAGCAGGTTTTAGACTAAACACTGTAAAAATAAATCCAGATGTGACGCTGCTTTTCTGAACGATTCTGTCATCAGCTCGTTCCATTTGGCCTCGGCTGCTGCTTTAAACTTACTGAATATGACGTTTCACAGATTTATGTCACATTGTTAATATAAAT